CTTTGAAGTTTCGGGGATTTTGTTAACTTGCCAGGAGCGAGTGAGTGAGTGAGCGAGTGAGCGAGTGAGCGAGTGAGCGAGTGAGCGAGTGAGTAAGCGAGTGAGTGAGTGAGTGAGTGAGTGAGCGAGTGAGTGAGTGAGTGAGTGAGTGAGAGAGCGAGGGAGAGAGCGAGGGAGCTGGCAAGCCAGAGAAATGACAACAACAAACAGTAACAAAAACAACAATCCTCCCGCAATGCATGAATCACGAGGAATGTGCCTAATTCTCTCCGAAGAGAAGGGGACAGAAGTTCCCATCGACGTCAATTGCTTTCGTGACTCATTTGCAATACAGGGCAAGGCAGTTCAGCTCTGACACTGCCAGTATGTTTGGGTATTGTCATAATAATAATAATAATAAGTGCAAGATCAAGAGATTAGTTTGAAAGGAGCAATCTCTTTTTGGCCCATCTAAGCTCATCCCTCCAGATCACCCTCCTTTATTTTTAAATGACTCCAAAACACCCTTTCCTGATCCATTTGTTGATTACCCTCTAAATCTTTGCATTCTGTATAGCATCTCATCACTCTCATCGAAACACCTCAAAAACCAATCATAGGATTTTTTTTTACTGACTGTGTATTTTTTACGATCTGAAAGGGCGGTGGAAACAGATTCAATGATAACTCTCAAAAGAGAATTGGATATTTACTCGGAAAGAAAAAAGTTGCAGGGCTGTGGGGAAAGAGCGGGGGAGTGGGACTAATTGGATGGCTCTTTGGACGGTACTGGGTACGATGGGCCGAATGGCCTCCTTATGTGCTGCAAGATTCTACGATTCCTAAGAGGAAACGGTCTTAAGGCTGAGACGAGGGAGGAATTGCGGACGATCGGATTTTTGCATGACACCCAGTTCGATGAGGTTACTCCTGGGAGGCAGCAAGGCATCCTGTGTTAGAACCAACTTGGTGGCTTGTTCACTGTCTACAATTCTGCACGGTGTTGAACTTCATGGCAAAGTGCCGTCCCAGGGAGAAGCAAAGTGGAGTTAGGAGTCAACTGCGTGTCTGACACACACCGAAACCCATCATCGTGATTAAGAATCTTCAAACCATACTGAGAGTTCCACATACGTACGCTACCTATGCATACAAAATTTCCCTGTGTTTGGAATGAAACGCATTCTCTCTCTCTCTTTTTCTTTCTTTCTCTCTCCAGAGAGACGCACCCTGCTTACAAGGTGCATATTGGCAAGCTCCAAAGGGTTGGGGGGGCAATTGGACCACTGCCATTGAGAGCAATGTCTGGCAAATTTCCCGCTGCTTGTCCAGCTAGGGCCAGCCTACCTGTTAGGGGCTTGGCTTGGCTTTGCAGGCTTAACAGGCATCTCGGACCATATTTACAAGCGCTTAATTCCTGTGGTGTTAGTATAGGGCAGATAGGAAGGACCGTTGAAGCCGGAGGTAGTCCTGTCTGCTGGCGAATTTCACGATCCCCTGACTGGTGAAGTGCGTCTGTCACAAAGATTTGATCTGCCATCGAAACGGCAGTCAGATCCCCTATGATATTAATAGTCAGTAATAATAATCGTTGCATTTGATCCAGCGCCAAACACTTCGGGAGGATGTCGCAAAGTGCTTTGCAGGATATACTGCAAAGTGGAGTGACTGTGTATTTGGCAGGTGAACACGGCAGCCAATTTGCGCACAGCAATATCTCACGAACAGCTACGGAGCAAGTGACCCAACAGAATGTAATAATCGTCACGATTACCAATAACCCCCACCACCCAACCCCCACCTCGCTCCCTCCCTCCCTCCCATCACACCGTGCATCACACAGCCTGTGCTGTGATCAATAATAACCCTTGCATCCAATATTGAGTTTTATTATGTCGTCGAGACGTCTCAAGGCACTTCACGGAATATACTGTGAAGGGAATCTCCTTACCAGACACTTGCATGCTTACAATCCCCCAGATAAAATTATAATAATAGCAACAACAATAATAATAATTAATAATAATAACCCTTGCATTTGATACAGCGCCCTATCACATCGTCGACACGTCTCGAAGCCCCTTCGCAGGACATACTGTAAAGTGGATTGACTGTGTGTCTTTGTGGGCGAATCGCGGCAGCCAATTGCGAACAGCAGCGTCCCCACAAACAGTGGTGGATTGAGTGACCGGGTTTTTCTATTTGTGGGACAATGCTGTGCGCAAATCGGCTGCCTTGTTGGGCCTGTAGAACGTCACGGTCGGTCCACTTTACAGTACGCGAAGCCCTTGTGAGACATCCTCCCAGATTAGAGGCGCTGCATCAAGCGTTACTTGCTCGCCTCAAAGCCACGTAACCTACGGATCGGATCGCCCGTCAGGAGCCCAAAGCCGGATGGCACAGACACGGCTGCGGTTTGAGCTACGGAAAGAGTTAACGCATGTCTTTTTTGTCCCTCCTTTGCCGAAAGCACCTGCGAGGCACCATTCTGTAATTAAAGAGGGGGCTAACGCAGACGAGACTGCCCACAGTCTTAAGTGAAAGGCTCGCACGCTTCCTCCAGAGCAGAGCGAAAAGAGACCTGAGTAATGGGTGGCCTCAGTTGTGCCTGAAGGGAATAGTTTCTCTGCCCTGTTTGTGCAGGCGGGAGCTTCTGGAGCAGAGAGAGAGAAAGAGAGAGAGAGAGAGAGAGAGAGAGCGCTGGTCCTAATGGGAGATTCTTTCAGCTCTTCATCAACACCCATTAATTATTAACCAGGTTAGCAGACATCAAAGGAGCATAAATACCGCCTGTGCTCACTAGGCTGGGGTGGAAGCACTCTACCAGTGAAATGTGATTTCTCTTCCCTGACCCCCACCTTCTCTTCCCCTTCTCTCTTCCTTCCCAGCAACCGCCCCTCCACCCCCCGACCCAGCCCCACCGCCCGCCTCTTTTGAGGTCTAGGGAGGTCACGCGATGTGCATTTCAACTTGTGCACCCATCAAAGACACTGAAATGAAAAATACCGGGGGTGTTATCTATCTGTGCCTTAACCTGGGAGCTTCAGTAAAGACTCGCTGACTCCCAGCTTAAAAAAAACACGCACCTAGACAGGACATTGCGTTTGTTTCCAGCGAGCACCTTGATTGTAGTGCAGTTGGCGAGTGCGTGCGTGTGGGAATCATCGGTGCAACAGTTGTAAAAGATAGTTTGATGCGTTGGTCTCGGAATATTGAACTCCACCACCCTCCCCTCCGCCTCAAAGCGCTTCACGGAATATACTGCGGAAGCCAATTGACCGTGCGTCCTGTGGGCCAAACGCGGCAGCCGACTGCGCACAGCGGTGACCCACAAACAGTCGTGGATTGAGTGACCGCATTTTTTTGCGTGGCATCAGTACACAGAGTGGAATTGGGTTGCAGTGGGTCTCCACGTAGCAATGCAGAGCGAGAGACAGCAGCAAAGTTGTTGAGGGACGGGACCTGAGGTTTATTATCTCATCCATAGGACGGTACCTCCTACAATACAATGCAACCACCCCCCCTCCCCTCCGCCCACCCCACCCAGCGCTGCATTGAAGTGTCAGCTTAGACTGTCTGATTCCAAGTCCTGACATGGGGGCTCAAACTCACAACCTTTCTGAGGTGTCAGACATTGTTCGTGGGGACACAGCTGTGGCGCAATTGGCTGCTGTATTTCACCCACAAAATACACAGTCAATTCACTTTGCAGTGCATCCCATGAAGTGCTTTGAGACATCTGGAATTATTATTATTAGTAGTATTATTATTATTATCCTGGGATTCCATCCGCTGCGCTTGGGTGGGGGGGCCCTTGAGGTAGAGTTTTAACGCCAGTTTCACAGGAGAGTAATCTGCTGAGGTTTGCACAAGGCTTTTAAATGCTGCTTTTATGCACCTTTAAAGATTCCAGTTCAAATGGGGTTAATGTCTATTGCAGCAGGGCATTTTATTGGGAATGTGCACCTGTAGTCACCCAGAATTACTATGCGAGACACCAGCCAGCCCCGCTTTCTGTTTGGAAGCACTTGTGGTCTGCTAACAATTTATTTTGGCCATAGAAGGAAAAATAGCGGCCCCTACTGAGCACTTAAGTCTTCTGCAAGCCAGCCAACGAACGCACTTCTTTTGGGAGATGTGAAAGGTTCGTTGAGAGTCTTTTCCTGTCTTTTTTGTTGAAGCATAATTTGGAGCTTTAGGGAGGAATAGACTACTTCCACGTCCCCTCCTCGAGTGGTACGGATGAGTCGTCAACTGTCCCAGCGAGACACAGGAACAGGAGGAGGCCATTCAGCCCCTCGGGCCTGTTCCCCCATTCTGTTAGATCATGTACTGATCATGAACCTCAACTCCACTTACCCGCCTTTGCCCCATATCCCTCGATACCCTTATTTAACGTGTAATGAGACGTGTTAGGGACTGAGACTTGGGTATGTCAGTTACTAAGACATAGAAGCAAGAAGTAAGACATCGCCAGCATTGTAAACCTATGTAAGGTTCTGAAACGTACAACAACAACTTGCATTTATATAGCGCCCTTCACGTAGGGTAGGGTAGGGTCTCGGAGAGCTGAACAATGGCCTAGTTTAATACCGAGCTGAGGAGAGAGGAGAAGTGACCGTAAGCACAGTCGAAGAGGAAAGTGTTTTTAGGTGCGATCTGAGCCAATTCGATCATTCACGTCACGGCTGTTTGTGGGACGGTTGAATGGTGCGAATTGGCTGCCTTATTCACCCACAAAATACACAGCCACCACATTTTCCAGTAAACCACGTGAAGAACTTGAAAGATTCTCTACCAAGTGCAAGGACTATAAGTATGATTATTAACATTCTTATTGTCTTATTTCGTGCTGTATTCTCTGAAGCGAGCCCTTGGGGCAGGAAGGCCGAATCATTCCTCTTACATTCTGTACTGGAGAGTCAGAGAGACCCGTCTCTTGAAATGTTTACTGTGGTTAATCTGCTCTTGTTTGTTTAAAGCGGACTTTGTTCCCTGAGAACTTCCACTTTGTTTTGCAGGCCAAGCGGGCAGTTCAGAGAGGAGCCACGGCTGTTATTTTCGACGTGTCTGAGAACCTCGATGCCATTGACCAGGTAGGGAGAGGATTCTCGACAGCGCTGACGCCGTCGAGGCTGACGTTCTAGTGCAGTGCTGGGCGAGGTGATGGAGTTTGGGGCGGGATGTGTTACAGATTGCTTTAAAGGCTGTAAATAGCTCAACTCCTGCATCGGATGATGCAGGGCAGGAAGATCTTATTATTATTCTTTTAAACGCTTTACCGCTGAGGCGATGAGAGCTACTGGCACTGAGCGTTTTTGTCCGACACCCTTTTCCCCCCCGCTATCGCCACCCAGTGGCCGAGGCAGGCCGTTGCTTGTGCTCTGCGGTTCCCGGGTACCCATGGCAGGGTAAGAGGAGGGTGTGGGCAGTTGGGCAGCGTCTTCAGGCACGTAGGGAGAGCATGCTGGAGGTTTGTCGTTCGCAGCACTGTGTGTGTGTAAAACCGTGGGGTGAGGCTGAAGAAACTCCACGCGCGCAAACCACTGGGTTGTACCTGCTGAGAAAGTCGCGTACCCTCTGTTGATGGATTATCTCTGAAAAGTTACCGGGTTACGAAGCCACCACAAAGCTTCTGCCAACTTCTGCGCCTCTCGCGGCCAAAGTGACTTTGAGGCGAACTCTTTACCTATCCCTCGCATAGGGCTTTTTAACCCAAGGCTGCTCTTTGAGCGTACAGTCTCACTGCTGTTAGTGTACTCAACGTTGCTCCCAACCAACCACTGTGTTGCACGCAAGAGAGAGAGAGGGGGTGGGGGGGGGGGAGTTTGCTTTGCATTAAACCAACAGGGATCGAGATCATTCTCTCGATGGAGAGCAATCGTGTTCGAGAGATAACTGCGGCACATCAAAAAGCACAGGCTAATTCAAGAGGAAGCTTTGCAGCCCCCAAAGGAATATCTGAATGCATCCGCTTAATTGGTTGTGTTGGTTACACCAGAGCTCCCAACTTATCCCTTGGACAAAAACGTGGGAATTTCCTGAGATTCAACAGGCTTCTTTCTCTCTCTCTCTCTCTCTCTCTCTCTCTCTCTTTACCCTCCACCTACAGTGATAATCCGTCCATTTGATATAGAACCTTATCATGTTGTTGAAACGTCTCAAATTCGCCTTCACAGAACATATTACATCCAATGCAAAGTGAATGTGAGTGACCACATTTTTTTGTTTGTTCGCTTTCGGAGGGAGCCACCAACCAACTAACAACCGGGTTCCTACTTATCGCTAGGTAAATAAAGGTGCGTGGAGTAAGGAAACTTGCCTAAGGTTTCGCCCCGCCCGGGAATCGAACCCGGGTCCCTCTCCCAACAATGGTCATTCACATCATGGTCGCTTGCGGGACACTGCTGTGTTGCACCGCACACAAGGCAAAAGGGTTTGTTGCAAAATGTCTGCCGTATTTGGCCACAAATCCAGTCACTGCAATTCATCGAAAAAAAAGCTGCATCAAATGTTAGAATTATTAGCATTATTATTACTGTTATTATTATCTTTTCCCAAAAAAATTATCCCCTAACTCATACACAACAACCCTCTCTTTTCCGGCTCCATAACCTGCTTGAGGCCGTTTTCTGAGCTACATTACCAGGCGGGGCAGTGGGGCCCTTTACGTCAAGTGCAAAGACTATTTTAGTCGTAAGTTTTGTAGGGGAAAGCACAAAAAAGCCCTGAGATCTCTGGCTGTTTTAAGAGCGAGGTATAAATGATTTCCAGCCCCCCTAAACAAAAAAATCCTTCCTTAAAGAGTCGGGACTGAGCAAACCTGCCAGAAACAGACATATGGATGCACTTTTCTGTGAGCCGCTGAGCCCAATCCTGTTTTTGTGGAAGTATGCAGATTAATTAAAACAAGAGCAAAGGGGTGGGGGGGGGGAGGAATGGGGGGGGAGTGGGCAGTGGAATGGCGGTTTTGCTTTGCTCAGCTCCCTGCAGGTCTCCGAAGGATGTTTTGAGATGTTGAGGGGCGCCAGGGCAGGGCTTAAGACTTGTCTCGATCTGCGGCAACCGCGCTTTTTCAAAAGCGTCGTTCTCTTTCCTAATTAATCTCGGTGATTAATGAACTCACGCCGATGATCCTTGAAGCACTGAGAGAGCAGGATGAGACCTGCCGTCTCTCTTCAGTCAATGCTTCAGACATCAAAAGCATCTGGTAGAACCCCCCCAGGCACGGAGCACAGAGATCTTTTGAAGAAGATGGTTGGGATGGGGGTGGGCGTGGGGGGGGGGGGGGGGAGATGGGGGAATTGGGGGAAGGGGAGAGAAATGGCTGTTTACAATTGTTAGCACAATGTTTACCTCTTCCAGTGGAACAAATAATTTGACTCATACAGTGAGTCCCAAAATATGCTTTGGATTTTTTTTCTCGCTTGTTTTAAAAGGAATTGCAAATAATACGTAATAACACTGCGTAGCTTCAACCTGCTCGGTCATTGCTGGATCTGTTGAACGAACACTCAACTCTTAACCTCGCACAAGCTTCCTGCATATTTTTCGCCCAGAAAATACACAATCAATCGACTTTACGATATATCCCGTGAAGCTCTTTGAGACGTTTCCATATAGTCAAGGCGCTACATCAAATGCAAGGATTATTATTCTTATTATTGTGCCGAGTCGCAGTGTATCTTCTGCACTGTAATGTGTTCCTCCCATTTAATACTCTCCCCGTTTCCACGATAAACAATGACTTATATACAAGATGTCAGTCGGGCTAGGTCACTAGTGCTCTCGCCTCTGAGTCAGAATTGTGGGATTACGCCCCACACTCTCTGTGAGTTGCAGTCCGTCAGATGGGATAAATCCGAGATCCTATTCAAAAAGAGAAGGGAGTTTCTCCCTGATAATAATAATAATAATAATTTTGTCATTTAATCCACGACTGTTTGCGGGACACTGCTGTGCGCAATTGTCAGATTAATGGACCGTTTGGGTCAATCTCGCTTTGTTTTCCAGTTGAATCAAGGCTCTGAAGATCCGTTGAAACGACCCGTGGTTTACGTTAAGGGAATGGACGCCGTGAGGCTGATGAACATCGTCAACAAGCAGAAGGTGGCACGAGCCCGAATCCAACACCGGCCACCGCGGGTAAGGATAGAGGAGACATATGGACATGTTTATACACAGATATATAATGATATATGGTGGCATTTGATATAGTGCTGTATCACGTGCAAAATATACATGCAATTCACTTTACAACATGTGATAAGGCGCTATATCAAATGCAAGGATTATCATTATTATTATCATGTCATCAAGATGTCTCAAAGCGCTTCACAGTGACTGTGTATTTGTCGCAAATGCAGCAGCCCATTTGCACACGGTGATGTCCCACAAACAGCCACAGACACATTGTGTGTGTGTGACTTCTATTTAGGGGAATATTTAGAGGACACTGGTAGAAACCGCACTTGTCTTTTCAAATACTGCCGTGGAATCACTTTTCATATCTCATTTTAAGAACAGCACCCGTAGTGAGTCTCTCTCATTCAGTCCGGGTCAAATTTGCGCTGTTTCTTTAGGAGAATTCCCGCGAGAAACAGATTGAGTCAGAGCTGTGCTCCCATGGGATTTGAGTGAAGTCCATCCAGTTAGTGGAAGAAACTCCTGACTTGCTCATTAAGTTAAATACCCCAGATTAGCACCCCTGAGAATGCAGTTTTTTTTAAAAGTTCGCCCACAAAACACACAGACAATTCATTGTACAGTATATTCTGTGAAGCGCTTTGAGACGCCTCGAAGACGTGCTAAGGCGCTGTATCAAGTGCAAGGATTATTATTGTCATATTAACAATAGTTCCTGGCTGTCTCACCACCCAGCCCTCTCTCCCTCCCTCCCTCCCTCCCTCCTTGTAAATGGAGCGGGGCTGGGGCGGGGGAGAGGAACTGTTTGGGTCAAAACTGTGATGAGAATTTTTCAAAGGTGTTTCATTCGAATGTTAAGGGAGCGCAGAGAACAAACGAGGTGACAGAGAACAAGACAGACTAATATTCAGTTAACACCCCAGTTCGTCGTACGGCAGATGACAGCTCATTAATCTCCGCGGCCCCTATTGTGAATCATTTATAGCTCACTACTTTTGTAAGAATACTTTTGCTGAGATTTGATTTCATGCCTTTTGTGACTCGAACCTTGCCAATGGCAAAGTTAAAATTAAATGCTCGCTAGCCCTTTCTTTTCCTCCTCTCGATTGTTTTTTGGGAGGGCATTCGGGGGTGGGGAGGGGGGAAAGAAAAACAAGACAAAAATTATTTTGGGGGGGTTTGAATTACCATTTTTTGTGTGACATTTCTCTCCACACCCCCCCCACCCAAGTCCGTGAACCGTCTCATGGAAGGAATGAGAGCATGTTTGCTTTATTCCTTAGGCCCAACCTTGTCAGAGTATTGTTTTGCCTCTGGCTGTTCAGTGCCAGGCTTGAGTGATAAGTTGCATTAAAGATCAAAAGAATACTTTTGTTACCCAGCGTTGACCACTTTTGCTTCGAGCTGTAGACACAGCTCAGCTCGTTCCAGGCAATCTTAAGTGAATAGGAACGCAGGAGAAATTGAACGCAAAAATGTACCCGGCTTTAAAAGAAAAAAGGGTTTCGAAAGTGGAAATAATAAAAAAAAAGGCGTATTCTGGAGCGTGGGAGAGGTTCATGTCTCGAGTGTGTCTCTTTTCTCAGCGACTAACAGCGAGGATGTGTTGGGTTCATTTCCCTCCCAGAGACGGCAGTACGTTTCCTAAGATATGTGATTGATCTCAATGAACATCTGGGAAAGAATGGGGCTTTTTTTATAGATATTTTTTGGTGGGGAGGGGGAGGGAGGGAAGTGGTGGAGTGGGGCAGACTTGTTTGATACAGTAGAAAATTTTACCCCCTCCACTGTTCCTCTTCCACACTCCCTCCCCACCCCCACCCTCCCCCCCACTCAACCTCCACCGCAAAATTATTTACAGGGAGAGCCAGATGTCAGTTACACTATAGTGTTAAGATGCCCACTGACTAAGTTAGCAGTGGTAATATTAATAATTAATAATCCTTGCATTTGTCGCGCCTTTCATAAAGCTTCACAGGAAATACTGTAAGTTGGAAACACTGTAAATTACTGTAAGGTAGTTGATTGGGGAAAAAAAACCTATGTGAACAGTTCTGTGTGTGGGAAATATGTTTATGTGTTCGTTCGAAGTACACAGTCACTACACTTCACAGTAAAATCCTCGGAGGCACTTTGAGACTGCCCTGTGTACTCCACTGCCAAGTAAGGTGATAAGAGGCAGATGCTATCGGGGGTTTGAAGAGGGACTTGGAGAGGCATATCAAAGAAATGCCCCTGGGCTTCACTAAATTACCTGGACTTTGAATCTCCTCGTCACGCTTACAACCGAAGACAAATCACGAACGCAAGAGCAGCAACTTACACTCACGCAGGATAGCGTCTCGGAGGGCTGCATGGTGGCGGGTTTGTACACCGAGCAAAGGGAGATGGGTGGGGGTGGGGGGTGGAGGACAGATGAGCGTAGGCGCAGTCGAAGAGGTACATCTCACGGTGGGATTTAAAGATAGATAAAGATACAGGGGCGATCGCGAAGTGGAGCTGCTGTTTATTTCAGACGCTTTGTTCCTGCCACGCATTCCTGCTAGATTAATATCCACCTGCGGGCTGACACAAAGCACGAATTAGTAAGCGAGAGAACGCCTTTCAAACGTACTTAGGGACGCGATAAACAGCCACGCCCACGGCATTATTCTTAGCCGATTGGTAAAACATTCCTGAATTAAAGAACGAAATGTCCTCGACAATACCGCAGTCAGGACCTACGGATGACTCTCTTTGAACCAAGTTCTGGCCTGTGCCTGCTCAAGCAGACGCTCAAAATCCCGTGGCTCTGTCTGAAAAAAGAGAAGGGAGTTTCTCCCTGTGTCCCGGCCAACAATCCTCCCGGATAAAACTGGCCGTTCACTTCGTGGCTGTTCGTGGGACACTGCTGCGTGGAAATTGGCTGCTTACAAAATATACAATGGCTACCCTTTGTAGCATCTCCCATGAAAACCTTTCGTCGCTCAGTCCACCACTCTTTGTGTGGACGCTGCTGTGCGCAATTGGCTGCTGCGTTTCACCCACAAAATCCAGTCAATCCACTTTACAGCATATTCTGCGAAGCGCTTTGAGGCGTTTGAAGACGTGTTAAGGCACGATATCAAATGCAAGGATTATTATTATTAATATCGATAAATATCCATTGAGCAATGCATGAGTCCAGCTACTGTTTCTGCCAGTTATTTTTCTTTCTTTCTTGCTTTGTTGTTTAAATGTTGAGCACCGAGTGCATTTAGAGGACCAAATGTCATTCTAAGATGACTTTGCTCCCCAAGGAATTTGGTGCCAACGGCTGACACCCATCTTTCCCTTTCCTTCAGCAGCCCACAGAGTACTTTGACATGGGCATCTTCCTGGCTTTCTTTGTGGTGGTGTCTCTGGTCTGTCTGGTTTTGCTCATCAAGATCAAGCTCAAACAACGCAGGAGCCAGGTAAGAAGAGGCTGATCTCGTTGACATTTGATTTGGCAAGGGGTCATTACATAGACAGCACAACACCAAAAAACAATCTGTCTAATCTGTGATGTCTCTACTCCACATGAACCTTTGCCCACCGTAATCCCCTCTTCCTTTCTATTTCCTATACCTCCATGAACAGGATGACCCTCCTCTTCGCCCTCACCCTCGACCATACCCCCTAACCCCCACCCCTGCCCTCCCTGATCCCAACCCTCCAGCTCAGGTCCAAATCCCTGACTGTACAGAGCCTTGGGACATCCTCCCGACATGAAAGGCGCTGTGTAAATATCATTTTGTCACTGTATGGTAATATCCTACTCCAGTTCCTCATCATCCCCCCCAGCCCGGCTCCGTGAAGCAAGCGTTTTGTTAACGTCCTCCCGACGCGGTAGGTTGCTGTTTCAATGTCAAAATCGTGTGGGCATCGCGTCGTCCATTTATTTCTGACCTTGCCTTGTGTGTGACCGCAGAGCTCCATGAACAGGATGGCCATACAAGCCTTGGAGAAGATGGAGACAAGGAAATTCAAGTCAAAGGGAAAAGTCTTCAGGGAGGGCAGCTGTGGAACCTTGGACACCCTCAGTAGCAGCTCGACATCGGACTGCGCCATCTGCTTGGAGAAATACCTGGATGGGGAGGTCAGCATCATTATTTTCCTGACTGGTTTGTAAAACACTTGGTACGGGAGGCGAGTGCGGGTTGGGTTGTTGACAGGAGCGTTGGTCATCTGGGATCAAGGCACCACCTTTATACCACCTAATATAATTTAACACAGTCTTTGTTGAAAAATTCCATGAAAGGAATCCCATCTGTGCCCAGGCTAGGAAGGAACTCGCATTCTAGGCTGACACTCCAGTGTGGTGCTGGGGGGTGGGGTGTGGGGGTTTTGGAACAGTACCATGAGATCTTTAACATCCACCCGATGATCAGGCAGAGACGGGACCTTAGTTTAATGTCTCATCCATAGGATGAGCGCGTTCTGGTTGAGTGAATGGTGTCGAACACGCATTGAGGGTACGTTGGATTTTGGGTTGTAAAACGGCCGGCTTTTCCTCTAAACGTTGGACCTTGTCGTTGGCAGGAGCTGCGTGTGATTCCGTGCACACACCGATTCCACAAGAAGTGTGTGGATCCCTGGCTCTTACAACACCACACATGCCCGCACTGTAGACACAATATCATTGGTAAGTCCCAACAGAAAAAACCCTCGGGTCAAGACGGCCCTTTGGCTCCTCATAACTTCCGGATGTTGAAGAGAAAAAAGGGATTGTGTCGCGGGAAACTAAGCGTGTTTCTTTGGTGATAATAATTAATAATAATCCCCGAAACGACTTCAGCTGAAGCCCCTTCTTACCCGGCAAAGGAATCAGCGTGTGCATTGCTGGGATCTTATCCTTTCGCAATCTCCGCTCTTATTTAGTAATAAAATTCTTGCGTTTGATGCAGAGCTTTTCACGTTGGGAGGACGTCTCAAAGCGCTTCACGGGCTGTCGTCTTAACGTAGAACGGCTGTGTATTTTGCGAGCGAACAGCGGTCCTACAAACCGCCACGAAGCGAAATGCACCAGAGTTATGGAGAAAGTGGTGTCACGGGATTGAAGGATTTTATCGTGATCAGTTAAACTGGTGGAACAGGCCGGGCAGCCTCCATCCGTTCCACGACTTCTTTCGTATAAACTCCAGTGCAATAAAGTCTACGTCTCTGCTCCGTTGCCCCCACTTTCAAATCCTTGCCTGAAGACCTCCCCCTCTTTGATCGCATGGTCACCTCTTCCCCCGCCCCCCCCCCCCCCCACCCCTTGGCTCGGTCGGAGGTCAGACTCCGCCAAAGGTCCAGCGCTCCAGGACGCTACTCCACGTGAAGGGCGCTGTGTAAATATGAGTTGCTTTCGTCATCGTTGTTGTCGTTGTCGTCGTCGTTGTTGTCTCACCGACTGGCTGCCGCTCCTGACCCCCAAGTTTCTCTCTCCCATCCCCTTCGCAGAAAGGAAGAAAGAAAACAACGGCTCGGTGTGCCTGGAGGCCGAGACTCAGCAAGGCCGGGCAAGGCAGAGGGTGGTCCTGCCCGTCCACTACCCCGGGAGGGTGCACAGGACCGGCCAGTTGGCCGCCTTCCCCACCAGGACTAGCACAGACCCTCGCGGGGGAAACCCGGTCACCGTGCTCACTGTAGAGCAGCCCGGCGACCAGGGCCTGTTGTACCCTTCGCGGTCCTCCGCTGCTGCCAACAACGCCTACTACCCGGCCATTCACCCGGACCACAGCTTGGCGGGCGGGCATCACCACTGCGCCAACGACCACCGGCCCTACCCGCAGCCCGGGGGAGCCCTGAGGCGCTCCAGGTTCGGTGGGGGCCGTCACTTCTCTCGGGGGGCTTGCTTCTCCCAGTACGAGACCATTTACCAGCACTATTACATCCAGGGACTGAGCTATCCCCAGGCCGAGGGGGGCATGAGCGGGGCTCACCGAGGGGGGAGCACGCGGGCAGCCTTGCAGCTGGGTGCAGGAGGGCGAGGAGCAGCAGTCGGTGGAGCAGGAGGAGGAGGCGGGGGGATGCTCTTGCCCACGGTGGTGCCTATTCCGTCGGCCTCAAATCATCTGAGCGCCGCAGGCTCGGCCTTCGGCTGTTACCACGGCCACCGGTCAGTGTGTAGCGGTTATCTGGCCGACTGCCCCGGGAGTGACAGCAGCAGCGGAGGGAGCGGGAATGGCTCGGGACACTGCCACTGCTCGTCCAGTGACTCCATGTTGGACTGCACCGAGGCCAGTAACCAGGGCGTGTACGGTAGCTGCTCCACCTTCCGCAGTTCCTTGAGCAGTGACTACGACCCCTACGTGTATCGGAGCCGGAGCCCGTGTCGGGCGGGAGACCCCAACTCGAGCCGCGGGGGAGAGGGAGTAGGTGGAGGTGGAGGAGGAGGGAGAGGCGACTGTAACGGGAGCGGGTCGCTGCTGCTGACCGAAGCGGTGCCCGACGAGCTGGACGTCTCGACGGGCGGGCAAGATCAAGATGGCCGCCAGCCGTCGATGGGCGACCAACTGTCGAACTGCAGCATGGACATGAACTACTACAGCAGCAGCGGCAGCGGGGGCAGCTCATCGTCCCTCGAGTACAGGGACTACCCTCACCTCCACCACCACCACCATCACCACCTGCTCCATCACCCCCATCACCGCGGCAACACCTCAGAGACCGGGCCTAGCACGGGTGGGCCCACATCCTCGGCCTCCATTCTCGGCCGGGCGGGCGGCGGGGTGTGGGCCAGGCGGGAGGAGGAGGGGGAGAGGGAGGGGGAGGAGAGGGCCTCGTGCGCCTGCTGCCTAGATGGGGAGACTCGCGCGCCCGCCAACAACCCCCCCTCTTCCTCCTCCTCCCCCCCCAGCTCGGCACAAGGAGACGTCCGCAAAGGCTCAGGTAACGGCGGCGGTTTTTCCTTGCTGAACGTGCCGTGCTGTAGCGGCTGCGGCAAGTATTCCGAGCCCGGAGGAGGCTGCGTTACTTCCTTTTCCTCCTCCTCCTCCTCCTCCTCTTCCTCCTCCACCCAGGATTTGTACAGTGTTAACCCGAAGCGCTTGTGCAGGACAGACCCAGGCTCAGGCTCCGGCCCGTGCAAGGGCCGACTAGGCCGCTGCTTCTATGAGGAGAAGCAAGCCCGCCATCGCCGCCCCCATCATCATCATCATCATCAGCAGCAGCAGCAGCAGCAGCAACAACAACAACAGCAGCAGCAGCAGGTCGGCGCCTTCACTGAGGACTATGCAGTGAGCGTTCAGTACACGCTGACCGACGAGGCCCTGCGCGACTCCGACCTGGGGCAACGCATCCCCATCATCCCCGAGGACACGGGCTGTCACTCAGCCACCGCCACCACCGCCTTGGAAGAAGAGCAGGAGGACTGCGAGGCCACCCGGCTTTGCGGCCCCGGCCTCTTCTCCCCCTCGCTTCTCGCCGGCAGCTCGTCTGAGGAGAGGAGGGACCCCCAGAGCCAGAGCCAGACCCCCGCCGATAGTCAACCAGCAACCACCCCAACACGAGCAGGAGGCCGGCTTCCGAAACCTCCGCCCCGGCTTCCCAGAGGCAGAGGTGAAGAGGAGAGGAGCTTTGCAGGTGAGGGGCTCCGGGGGAAACACGGGAGAGCTGCCCCTTCCCTGGGGACTCCCGGCAAATTTAAGTGCCAAAATCCGCTTCAAGTAAACCACCCACCTCCCCGCTTCAGCTCCCCCCCCCCCCCCCCCACCCCCCCCCCCATCACTGCATTGAAGCATCAGCTTAGACTGTGGCCTCAAAGGCTTGAAGTCGAAGTCTTCTGGCTTGAGGCGAGAGCACTGGCTGCTGACTGAGCCGGGCTGACAAGTACGTACACTGTGTACTGACACACACCCTGGTTGTCAATTGAGCTGGGCTGACGATCAGAACACTGGTGGTGCCATAATTGGCCCCAAAAAGATTATTTCACAAGCCTTGAGCATGCTTTTCCTTGCCAATCAATCTCCTCCAGAGCGAACACCTTCCACGGAGCTGCATCGAAACGTTTGGCTTCAGTCGCGATTTAGAAATCCGTCCTCAGTACCCCTTTCTAACACGAGGTGGCTGTAGGCATCTGCAAAATACTATATATTCTTTCCTCGGTTAATGTTGCAGGAAAAAAGCCCTTGCGTTGAATTTAAGCAGAATAAAGCGATGACTTAAACGCCTGACTTTAAGAAGCTTACCGCTCGATGGTCAAATCTGCTCAGGAGATTTGCTTAATAGGGATTGACAATGTGGTTTGCCGTGAGCTGATTTTAAATGGGAATGAGAGAGTAAACCCAGAACAATACTTTCATTTCATAATCATAATAATAACGGTAACCTAACCCTAACCCTTGCATTTGATATAGTGGGTTTCAAGCCTCAAAAAAAAACAGCTTCGCAACATTCACGATGGTGCAGGTTCATTAGCAATGATGTAATAATAATCCTTGCATTTGATATAGCGCCTTATCACGTCTTCGAGACGCCTCAAAGATCTTCACGGCGATAAGTGAATTGACGGCAGATTTGTGTGCGAAACGTGGCAGCCAATTGCGCACCGCAGTGTCCCACAAACAGTCGTGGACTGATTGACCAAATTATTTTTTTAATTAATTAATTAATTAATTAATTAATTTGACGGGATTATTAAGGTTGCAAAGGGCAATTTTTTTACCCAGAGAGTAATTAATGGCTGGAACGAGAGTTGCGGAAACCAGAAACCTGAGACTCGTTTAAAACAAAACAGCTCAGTGCTGTGAGGTCGGGCAGGTATTTTGGAATTTTGGAATAAAATGAACCAAAGGGACCTCCTGTTTGTCCCTCGCCCCCTCCGCTCCACCACCGGCAGCCGTGCTTTCAGCCGCTATGCCCCAAAGCTCTGGAATCCCCTCCCCCAAACCCTCCGCCTTGCCCCACTCCCTCCCCACTTTCAAATCCCACCGAAAGACCTTCCTTTTCCAATCGTGCTTACGGTCATCTCCCCCCTTCCCTCTCCCCCCTGGCTCGGGGTCAGACTCCGCCACTGTTAAACGCTCCAGGACGCTACCCCACATGACGGGCACCGTATAAAGTTGTTGTTGTTCATCCAAACCGATCTTGTGAGTTGCCCTGCGCTAGAAAGCGTAACATTTCTTGCTCATTGATCTCTTTCCCTTTCCTTTCCCAGGGCCTGGTCCATCCCATATCCTGGAAACAAATTGTCCCAACGAGCAGAACGTCTGAAATTCTTTTTTTTAATCGCGCGCGTGTAAATATATATATATATAATACGGAGATACGGGAAGCTGTCAATCAAGACTCCAAACTCAGTCCTCAAAGGGATTGCATTAGTTTTGACAAAACACACACAGAAGTGGTAACGGGGAGAGAGAGAGAGAGAGAGAGAGAGGGTGGGGTGGGTGGAGGGAGGGGAAAAAAACCAAATCTCAAACACTTCGTCTTAAACGAGCCAGTTTGTGCATTTTTTTTCTTCCCTTTTGGAAGGGCTTGGGTTGAGTTGGGTTGAGTTGGGTTGGGGTTGGGTTGGAGATCAGGTTCTGCTGTCATTTATATCCAGCTGCCCTGCTTCACAAGGCAACCAGACCAGCGTTCTCAAAGAACTACACCAACATTTCGACTGAGGGATTCTCTTCCTATTTTTTTCAGGGAGAGAGGGGCGGGCGGGCGGGTGGGTTGGGGGTTGAGGGGGAGATCAAAAAAAGCCTTCCACAAGCTCAGGGTTACGGTTGCCTTAGTAAGCCAGCGACGGGAAATGGAATAGGGAACAAGACACTGGAGGAGAGAGGGAGGGAAGAATAGGGTCTGTGGGGGTGGGGTGGGGGGGGGTGGTTGGGCGGGGGGGAGAGAGATAGAGAAACAACAGGGAGAGGGTAAAGAGAAGACGGAAAGGACGCTGATAACACTCTGTTACTGAACGAGTGCCTCTTCGCCTTGGAAACGCTGACTTTACTGCTCCGGGGGACTCTCCCGCTCGTGAAGGTCGCTATGTAAACGCAAGTTGTTGTTGTTGTCGTCGTCGTCGTTGACCTGCTTCCAGCAACTGGCGAGAGCCACAGAGCAAGAGCACCACAGCAGGAGTCAAAACGTATCAAACGTCCCGTGCATCGAAGGCCACCTCCTGATGGACAGCTGTGCGTACGGATCGATGACAGACGACTCGCCACACACAGCGCGCAAATGTCGGGCAGCGAAGGCACTATATGTTTTAACGTTTGTAGCACTTAAGAAAGAAACAAAAAGGAGGGGCACGGGATTTTTTTTCGCAAAAAGAGGACAAGGATTCTCTCCCACCCTCCCACACCTCCTCCCTCCCCACCCCCCACCCCTCCCACCCCCTACCCGTCACCACCATTTTCTTTCCCTAACATTTTGAAAAGCCTAGCGATCGATCGTCGAACGTGTATATTCTGTACATATATAGCGGTACATTTCATTTATGGAAATATGTTCTCAGAATATTTATTTACTAATATATTTATCTTAAGCCATGTCTTATGTGGAGAGAGAGAAAGAGAGAGCGAGAGAGTATGTGCGGATGGTATAAAATAATCTTTGAGAATCACTAGAGTAAGACTTTGTAAATACATGATAATTGTACACAAAGATTAAATATTCTCTGACCAAAAACTGATTTTAAATTTTTAGTACTATACAGTTTTGTAACAAAAAATGTAAAAAAATGTCTGTGAAAAATACAGTTTTATCAAGTAAAGCTTTTTACCGACTCTCTTTCTTGCCATTGCCGTGAATTTTAACTGCTCGTGAGTTCCCGTGGGAGCATTTCTGAGGTTGCTCATTCTGTTTTTTTTTGGTTTCGACACCTGCAGAAACCCATCGCCGTGTTTTAAGGGTATCCAATCGACCAACCCAGGGTGGTAATACCCCCTCCCCCCAAATAATTTGGTCATTCAATCCATGACTGTTTGTGGGACACTGCTGTGCGGAATTGGCTGCCCAGTTTCGGCCACAAAATACCCAGTCGCTCCGCTTTTCAATATGTTCTGTGAAGAGCTTTGAGATGTCGCGATAAGTCTATAATTAATGTAAGGATTATTATTATTACTTTTTATTATAAAATAGGCTGTTGGGGAGCTGACCCGCTGGGTCAAACGACTTTTAACCGTTCTATGCGGTCCCTCAAGCTTCCCAAGTCCAAATTGGCGGCTGCACAAAATACCGAATAAATACAAAACATTAAGTTCCAGATGTTTTGTGTTGGCTGTCCAGGCGTATTAACCAAATGGGTAGGTAATCTTATAAATTCATCTGCAGCCATTTTAATGCTGAGAAGAGAGAGAGAGAGAGAGACGCTGAACGTGTACCCTTAATGTCCCAACAGCAAGAGATTTATTGAAGTCCTTAGTTCCGTAAACTGCACATGGCAGGCAGTGTGTAATGCTTAACAGTTTGCAGTTGTCACCTGGCGTACTCCAGGCTGTGTTTGTGTGCGCATCGATTGTGTATCGCGAATACCAATGAACAAGGACTCTTTAAAAAGAGTGGGGAACATCTGGAAGGCGGAGATAGAGTCACAGAGGGCCCTCTCGCCTCGCTTCTCTCTTGCTTGAAGCTTCAAGGGCCTGTTTACATAAAGGGCCTGTTTCACTGCGGGTGTTTAAACTGTCTGTCAGACTTTACGCGCATTTGCATGTCAAATCCCCATTAGCTTTGAAGAGCAAATCTCATTGTCAGCAGCAACCGTTTTACATGTTAAAGAGTTTCTCGTCAAGTTTTAACATTCTCCTTTGGATTTTGTTTTGGGAATATTTCTCTCTCTCACCAAACACTCCCTTGCGAGACTAGCACCATAGATTTGTTACCAGCGTTGGCAGGACAAATAAGGTTATTTCCCTGGGACAGATCTTGGCTTAACGATCGTAATGTGTCCAAGGACGTTAGCTCAGTTCCTTCTTTCCCCGCCTCGGGAACAAGAGGATGCTAATTGCTTCAAACGCTTTTATTGCAAAAGACAAATTGAGGTCTCCGTTCCATCATCGGTGGCTGTGTTTTCAGCCACTATGCCCCAAAACTCTGGGACACTCTTACCTCCTTCGCGCCTGAAGACCTTTTTGACCGTACCTACGATCACCTCCTCCCTCCCCCCTCCCCCCCCCACCACCACCACCACCACTGTCAAGTGCTCCAGGACGCTACCCTGCATGAGGGACGCTGTATAAATGCAAGTTGTTGTTGCAGTCTCCCAGGCCTGGGCGGGCGGGAGGTGAATTTCAGGCCCGGGATAAGGAGGTGAGGATAACAGGAGTCGGGCGGTGTGGGTGGCAGCTGAGAGTTGATCAAAATAATAATATCCCTTACATTTGGATGCGATGCCTTTAAGGTCGGGAGGACGTCTCGAAGCGTATTGCCGGATTTGCTGTAATGGTTTACGGACAAACGTGGCAGCCAATTGTGCTTAGCAAAGCCCCATGAACAGCGGTGAATGAATGAAGGATTTTATTAGACACATAAAGCACACACACACACATTTCACTTGACAGTATATTCTGTGAAGCGCTTTGGGACGTCTCGAAGGCACGATAAGGCGCTATATCAAATGCAAGGAGTATTATTATTATTCATATTATCGCTGGGTGCAAATGTGCCACTGAGTTTGCCTACAAATACAGCAGTCACTCCATTTCACGCACAAATCCTGTGAAGGGCTTTGAGACGTCTTTTGGACATGATAAGGCGCTAAATGCAAGGATTATTATTATTATTATCATCCTAAAACGGGCGGTGGGGGTGGTGGGAGAGTTCAAACAATAAGCTGACCCACTATCACTCTCCCACAATTAAATAGTGCTCTCTTTAATTCACTCTGTAGGATCTGGTACTGTTTACACTGGAGACAAACTTTTCCTCATAAACTTTATTTTTCCAGGCAAAGCATTGCTCTAATTGTCAGCAGATGATTTCTTTGATGTTGTTTTTCCCTTGACGTTGCAGTGCTGCGTGACACTGGATCTCAGAGGACAGGGTTTATCATGTAAAGACCTCAAAGAACAGAGCTTTCATAACCCCAAAACCTCAATAAAACAAAAATCCTGGAGTTTCATAACTCTTATCTGCAAGAACTACAAGGAGTTGCGGGAATCCTTACCCAGACTATGTTACAGATAGTGAGTCAGCCATTGCCAACCACAATAACACTTTTACCTTTATATATTATCTCAGAATCATAGAATCACACAGAGCACAGAAGGAGTCCATTCGGCCCATCGTGTCTGTGCCAGCTCTTTGAAAAAAGCTTTTCCGATTCGATCCCACTCCCCTGCTCTCTCCCCATAGCCCTGCAAACTTGTCCTCCCCAAATAATTATAATAATAATAATAATAATCCTTGCATTTGATACAGCGCTTTTCACGTCTTCTAGACATCTCAAATGTCACACAAAATGCTGTTAAGTGAATTAACTGTATATTTGTGGGCGAAACAATAAATAATTGGATAAATAATTATCTAATTATTATTTATTTGATAATATGCAATATATAAATATATATAAATATATATAAACCTTGCATTTGATATTGTGTTTTGTTCAAGATGTCTTGAAACAGTTCACTGGGTTTATTGTAAAGTGCAGTGACCGCATATATTGAAGCCAAACATGTCCCACAAACAGCCTTGAAGGGAATGACCATGTTTATCTGTGGGATTGGAAGCCAGGGGAAACTTCCTTCTCTTAATTTTGTCAGCCGTATGTCTAACGCATGCAAAAACCATAAATAAATAATAATGTGGTCACTCAATCCACGACTGTTTGTGGGACACAGCTGTGCGCAACTGGCTACCACGTTTCGTCCACAAAACACACGGTCAATTCACTTTACAGTATATCCTGCGAAGCGCTTTTGAGACGTCGAGAAGGCGTGATAAAGGTGCAACGTCAAATGCAAGGATTACTATTATTATAACTGTTCACCTAATTCCAGAGAGAATTAGGTGCAGGTTGTCGAGAGACAAGACTTGGGGACCACAGAGTGTGTGTGTGTGGGTTATTGCAGGAGTTTAACCAGCTAAAAAACACTCATGGGATAGCATCATATCAGAAAGATGTCCCAAAGCACCACACAGGGTTAACTGGGAGCACAAGACGGGGTTGGGGGGAAAACCATGTTTTTAAATCGGTATTTGGTTCAAATATGAATTGATGAATTAGACCAGGGGAATTATGATAAGCCACAGATTGACATTAGATGTAAAAGCATAAATATATTTCGTTGTGCAAAGTCAAAGTTAATTTGTTAATCAGAATTATTAATCTGATCACACTGATTAATAAATCTCAGTGCCACCTCCTGCTCTCTTGCTCTTCTCTCTCTCTCTCTCTCTCTCTCCCCCTCTCTCCTTGCCCCCACACACCCCCGCC